CCCCCCCTTTCCTCCATGTTGTTCTGTTGGTTAAATTTGACCTATAAAGACCAAGAGTAAGGGATAAGAAACAACTCACAGACATATTTGATGTACAATGCACGTTTATTTACCAGTAAGGAAATTGCACCAGGACCTTCAAATGTTACACTAACATTTGCATTAACCATTCTTGTCTATTGAATAAAATGTATACAACAAATAACAGTCCTATAGTTGTTTACATTCCTTCCAGCTATCTTCTGTAAACTACAAAATTCCTCCTTCCTATGTTATAGAGATGAGGCAACGGAAATGTATTTGTAGACCAGATCAGGAGGGTAGACTAGGGTGACAACACAGCTCCTCCATAGATATAGTAGGGTGAGTGAGCTTTGTCACCCTAGGACAAAAAGTAAGTCACTGGCAAGGTCACCTAGTCAAAATAAAAAAGAAAATTCACTGCAATATTGTACATTTTTGTTCTTGGGTTTAGATACATTTTAACTACGGGGTCAGTTATTTGACTTAGCGGTGCACTCTCAGGATGTAGAAAACAGGCAGGTGACAGGACAGCAATGTCAGACATAACTTCTAACACCTTATCCACGGGCTCAAGAGTTAGACTCTTACTAAAAAAGAAAAAGAAAAAAAATACTGTATGTCTGCACATTTGTAACTTCAAATTGAATATTCAGATTCTTCTATTAGCACCAAACTGACATGTTCTCTTTAATTTGTCAACAACATTAGCATTGCCTGACACATCTGTGATGAGGGTGAGCAGAAAGCTTCCCGGCAAGGTTTTAGACAGCAATAACAGGCCAACAGATGATCAAATCATTTCTATTTCTAATGGGATCGAGAGATGGTAAAAAGAAAAACTCTGATGACTGGCATCAATAAATGGACATAACTGAACCACTTGTGATCTCTCCATTTCTTTGTAGAAACAGTTTCCCAAAGCATGTAGCAAGTGTTCTCAATATTTAGCAGAAATGTGTGATTACTAGCAGACTGCACATGACCAATCTTGCTGTTTCAGATGTCTGCCTACATAAAACATTTGGTTCTCATAAACTGTCTTAGGGATAAAAGCAATGAGATTCCCACCTGCCCTGACAGATGAAAAGTCAGATGGGCTATTACGAAATGAGGAAGTTCTTACCTCGTACTGTTTTAAATTAATCTGATCTTGCCACTTACCCCATTACCCTAGTGGGAGATACGTGCTTTCGATCTTCACTTCGAAAAGTTTTCCAATTTGTTGGAGAGCCTTTGAGCAATTCGGCCAACCAATTTCTGTACGGCCTTCTCAATAAGTAGAACAAAGGAAATACTGAACCTCATGTGTCCCACTTTAGTCTGTTAGGCATATCATAAGAGAAACAGCAATGGATTCCGAAGCTACAGATGGTGGACAGATGTCTAACTTGCATAATTTTCTGACTTTCTGCATCAAACCTAGATTGATTTTACCTGATTTATAAAAAGTAGATCAGCTAACTATAATCAACAATCAGGTTTTTCACACTTAAACTAAGCCAGGAATTTGATTGGTAGTCATATATAATAGTGATCCACTTTTGTTTTATTCTCAGCTATCAATTACCTAATGAACTAGAATGTGCAGTTGCTTTGTACTATTCATTTTGGAGACTTGTGTGTGGCCTTCTATCTAGAAGTCAGTGAGGAGCCAAATTATAAAATATCCATTTTTTTTTATATTTTGAGGTTTTTGTTTTGTTTTGTTTTAAATAAAAAATCTTCATTTGAGGGCAACAGGGTATTTACACCATTGTATTATCTATAGAAATGCACATTTGTCTCAGAAACTGTTTCAAATTCAGATTGATAGCATTCAGCATGCTTTTTTTTTTCTTGTTTCACTGATTCAATTTAAGCTGGTCATACTCTAGTAGATTGTTGTCTTGACATTTTTGTTTTCGGAATGTTCATTCGATTTGCTAAGGGTTCGTGGGGTCTAATCACGATTCGCGTTTGCCTACAGTGGTGATGAAAAGGTGCAGGATGGAAAATCTTCAAGTAGCAGGTCTGAACAGGAAAGTGAAGGGCTTTTGAACTAAATTAGTTCATTCAACAGCAAGGTCGAGTGTTCTGATGATTACGAAACGAATGTTCAAACGAAATTCTATCAGCGTATTGCAAGCTTCAGACTTACGGATGAAATGTTAAGAAGTAACAAAGATTTCATTGCCATAAGGATTGTTCTTTTCAGCCATGAGGCCTGAAAATAACAATTGCATAACAGATACCTATTGACATGTAATTTCCAGCTTAGTGAATTGAGCTGCCAGTCCACCCAAAGGTGATAATTTAATTTTAGGTAAACACTGTTAGGTTGAGTCATCCACTGAGTTCTTCTAACACTGGTGTGAATTCTCTCTTCCCATGTTTCCTTACCACTGATGTTACAAAGTTCAGTGAGATTGTCTCCCCTTGCTGGGCTCTCCATAGTATAACTTAGGGACAGACTGCAGTGATGAGGATGAGATTGGCGATCCCCTTTGGATATAAAGAATCTAAGTGACAGTTCAGTCCACTAGACTCAACCCATACGTGAAATATCAGGCTTCAATTTTGTTCTATATTTGAGAGCAAATATATATGTACAAGTATATGCAGTTGTAGGAGCACAATCATAGACTCCTGTTCATTTTTCCATATTGCACTGACTGTATAATAATGAAACTCTGGTTGTTATGGATAAGGAGAAGAATTGCTCTTTGTTTTTCCCTTTTGATTAAAGGGCTCACTTCATCAAGTTCTGCAGTTCCCGCCATACTGGAATGACATGTTTGTGCCATATTTCTCATCTGCTTTGTATCTGTTGACTCACCTAAACATCTAAGGCTGAAAACACTGAAAAGAATCGCCAATAAATTATAAGGGGCTGTGTTTCTGGATACTCAGAATGATATTAATATTGTATAAACGTTCTCTATTTGTGGCAGCACTTTCGACACACTGTACAGAGAGATGTCCCAGCTTTGTCTCAGTTATGGATAGTGTATGACATCATTTTGTATATAAAGCAAATTCTAAGGAATCTTAACAGCTATCTGGTTACAAGTCAGCATCTCTGGGTGTATAGACCTCCTCTGGAGGGGGCATAGTTACCTATATAGAAGGACACTGCAATGTCAGCCCTCAGTAAGGATGTATTTTCTTTATTTTCTGATCTGATATCTCATAAGGCCGCAGTGGAGACTTTTCTTGTTGATGTTTTTGACATCTCAGCCCCAGTTTACGATCAAAAGCCACACTAGTCTTAAGCTGGCCATACACTAATAGCCATAGGGTGAACAATAGGAATCTAACAAATTCCTCCATCCACACTCAACAACGAGAATGGATGAACCTCCCTCATTGGGCTATCTACTTTGACAACCTGCTTCCGCCACTGTCCGAGTACCTAAACAGTAGCTGATTGGCTGCAATAACTGTTCGGTTGACAATTTTTGGCCTTGCACCTTCAACAAAAGTCAGTCGACTTTTGACAAGCTGGCAGGACCACTCAGTGCTAGAATTTCATCTGATTCCTGTGAATTGGCTTAAAGTCTAACAATATATGGCCTTTGTTTCAATAATAAGGCCATGATATCTTCTCTTCCGTTTTCTAGGTGAAGGTGGACAACCAGTATGACTTCCAGGACATCGCCAGTGTGGTCGCCCTAACAAAAACCTATGCTACGTCTGAGCCATTCATTGACGCCAAGTATGACATCCGCATTCAGAAAATCGGGAACAACTACAAGGCCTACATGTAAGTCATCACAATGTGTAATGCGCCTGTACTTCCTGGCACTGGAGCAGCTTACTTTCCACCTGTTACTTTGTAGCAGGTAATGAGCTAAGCTCATCAAAGTGTCTAACTAATCACTGAATGTAATTACCCCACAACAACCAACATTTCAGCATTGCACCAAGCTCGATATTGCACCAGATCAAACATTTAGAACTAAACTCTAGACAAACAAACTAAATGCACAGTTGATATACATAATCATGAACTGTTTCAACTGCCAAAGATATTTCATTTTTGTTTGCCCAGTGACCTAACTTTTTTCTTCTGCAGTTAAGAATACGCACTTATCATCTGACTCCAGAAGGTGATTGGACAGTAGGAATGAGTGGAGTCATTTAGCCAGACTTGATTTTACAATGACATTACCGATTTCACAAAATTTCAACAAAATATCCCATCTTTTGCTGAATTTTCTCATCCCTTTTGGACATTGAAGAAGCAGCAACAGACAAATTAGGTCCAATACCTGCTGTTTCAGCATAATGGTGCAGCTCCTCCCTTTCCTAGTGTACACTGCAGAAGATGACCGAAGTCACATTTCCTAACCTGACCATAAATATACATGTAATGCTTCTTTACTGAATACATCTATAGCCACATTTCTATATTTAGTTTTATTTAAATCAAAGTTAAATATATATGCTGGCAAGTACATTAGTTTCTTTTAATTAGTTAATTTTAACCATTTTCAGTTGCAAAGCTAAGCAGACCATGCCAATTGTTTATATATTTATATGACGATGATGGTGGTAAGTTGCATTGTTCTGTATATTCTGAAATTGGCAAAGAATGGCTCAAGTGTGTGATCAGCACTGTAGTGGCTTTGTGTGTTGTCAAGGACAAGGGGATGTAGACTGTGCCCTTCCCTTTTTATGATTATGAAGGTTTTAGTGTACTTCAATGGTATAATACAAAGCTCTGTCCCCGCAGTTAACCACAGCAGTGTTGGGAAGGTATGTTGTGGAAGAGGTAGGTGTCGCTTGTACTACATTTCTTGATGAAGGGAAGAGAGAACAAACCACAAACGAAAAGTCTGTAGGCAGAGGGGAATGACGAGGGTACAGGTTTTGTATCACTCTCCCTCTTCATCTTGGATAACGTGAAGACCTGGTTAGGGATCTAACCCATCCAAAACAAGCCTATTTTGGGTGTTATTCACACTCCCAATGGAAGAAAAGTTAATAGTTCTCACACAGATCTGTTATCGAGGGACAAGGTTTTATTCCCTTGAGCACTTGAGCCAGTGTACAAAAAAAGTCAGAAGCTACTATCTGCATACATGTCCTGAGTCAGTAAGTAAATAATTGTATTAAAGCCAGAGGCTCAGCAACAGGGCCAGGCACCTGGCATTTTCAGAAGGACGTTAACATTGAATGATTGGACGATTTCTGCACTTTTGAAGAGCTTTGGTAAGAATCAGTGTACAGACCACAACCAGCCCATAGTGTGTTCTGTTTATTTATTATACTGCTGAGTTTTCATGCTTTAAATAGATCTCACTGTTTACCTTGCATTAAAAATAGTCCTTGTTGGTCTTGCTCTGTGTCTAATTTTTGTCTGTGCTTGGTAAAGTTCTCTCAGTCTCCCTCCCTGTCTGACGCTCATGTTTTTCCAGTTCCCAAATGGTATAATATCAGTCACTCCCATTTGCTACAACTTGGCAAAGGTTTGGGAACACCTTAATAGTGCTACCCACCCTACCAATAAGGATTCAGATCTCCGGAATAACTCATGTCCTGTTTATCAGGTTTGATTATTTCCAAGTATCACCTGATGTCTGCTCACAATCTCAACCGAGCTATCGACTTGTATGGGTTAAATATAACCTACAAGGAGCAATTTTGATATTTACACTGTCCTCTTAACAAAACTCCACTGCTATTTCAAAGAACTGCGACCTTCTCTTTGTGAAAACACATTGAGGGGAATTTATCAAAGTGGACAGAATCTGGAGCAGCTGTCCATGGCAACCAATCAGCTTCTCTTTCATTTTCAAATCTTAAGGTGCCCATACACCTTGCGATTATCGTACGATAATCGCAAGGTGTGTGGAAGGCGTGCGACCTCTGCTACTGTAAGGTCTCACGACTTTTGTCTAACGAGCATGTTTGAAAACCCGCCGAGAATCGTACGATTGTCGGCGGGTTTGTGGCATGCTCGTACGACAAATGCCGAACGGACTGGTGTGCGCAAGTGCACACTGCACGTTCAGCATTGCAGTCATCGGAAGCCCGCCCCTCAGGGGGGCGGGCTTGCGATGATCGCAAGTACGATCTGCCTGTCCAAGATGGGCAGATCGTACGGTTTTTTAATTACCTTACAACTATCGCAAGACAAAAGTCTTGAGATGGTTGTAAGGTGTATGGGCACCTTTAAGCTTGCCATACACCTTCCAACCATTGCACGACTTTTATCTTGCGATCGTTGTAAGGTAAATAAAAGCTCGTACGATCTGCCCATCTTGGACAGGCAGATCGTACTTGCGATCATTGCAAGCCGGCCCCGCTGGGGGGCGGGCTTCCGATGACTGCAATGCTGAGCGGGCAGTGTGCGCTTTCCCACTTCGGCATTTGTCTCCCGAGAACTGCTCGGGAGACAAAAGACGTGCGGCAGTACAGTAGAAACGGTCGCACGCCTTCCATACACCTGCCGATTATCATACGATCACGGGATCACCCGCGATTATCGACAATAATCGGCAGGTGTATGGGCACCTTTACCTGAACGAATGCAAGATAGAAACTGATTGCTTACTATGGACAGCTGCTCTAAATTCTGTCTGCTCCAGCTTTGATAAATTCCCCTCATTGTTTTTGATGTCCAAATCACCCAGACACACACAAAAAAATCGGTAACATTGGATATACTGGCACTGGCTGTAATCGGCAAACTAGAATTACTGGCACTGCCTAAAATCAGGAAAATGGAAATTGCCACTGGCTGTAATCTGGCACTGCCTTTTATCTGCTTCCACCGGCTGTAATCTGGCACTGGCTTTTATCTGCTGCCACCGGCTGTTCGGCAAACTAGAATTACTGGCACTGCCTAAAATCAGGAAAATGGAAATTGCCACTGGCTGTAATCTGGCACTGCCTTTTATCTGCTTCCACCGGCTGTAATCTGGCACTGGCTTTTATCTGCTGCCACCGGCTGTAATCTGGCACTGGCTTTTATCTGCTGCCACCGGCTGTAATCAATAGCTGACTGTATACAGGCTCTGGCTATAATCTAGCACTGGCTTTAATCTGGTGCCTCTGGCTGTATTCGGGCACTGGCTTAAATCTGGTGCTGGCTGTAATCAGTAGCGGACTATAAACAGGCTTTGGCTATAATCTAGCACTGACTTTATTTTGGTGCTGGGTGTAATCAGTAGCTGTCTGTAAACAGGCATGGCTATAATTACCAATGGGTATAAATAGGCACTAGCTGTAATTTGTGGCTGGCTGTAATCAGGAAGAAGCAGTGTGATTAAGTAGGGGTACTATGATCAGGTAGGCACACTGTAATCAGATAGGGGCACTGTGATCAGGTAGGGCAGTGTGATCAGGTAGAGACACTGTGATTTTAACATTGTAAAGGCTCATACACAAGGGTGGCAGAGCCCATACAACATAAATACCAGTGTATTTCCTCCTGCCATGGAGCTGCAGGTGCTGCGTATAGCCTCCCATAGAAGTCACTGGTACTTGCATACAGTACAGCCATGTAAGTGTACAGACATATATCCCTGGAAGTGTATACCCACGTACAGTCATTTACTTTTACAGGAAGCTTCATGCAGCACTGAGCTGGGCGAAATATGCCAGTATTTACATTACATGGGCTCACCCACCCATGTGCATGAGCCCTTAAGCCCCCTAGGCAACAGCATTTTTCTGTTTAGAAACACGCATGTTTTGCTGCAAAGTGTTGCACATTTTTACATGCGTAACACACGCATGTATTATGTTGCACGTTTTTATGAGCAGATTGAGACACATTGATGTAAAATGTGCACAACGCGCGTAAACATGCGCAAAACCAACTGCACTGTGTATTTCCAAACGTTTCCTAATAATTCTATGGGGATAAAACGAGCTGTAATCTGCCAAAATGAAGCTCATGTACTTTTTCCAGCGACGGGCATTTTGCTAATTGTGACAAAACAATGTGAAGCATTTGGTTGCACTTATTCAGCTGGCTGCGACAATACGCTTAGTGTGAACCAGGCCTTACAGTGACTGGTCTGTAGTTTCCTGGTAGACACCTCAACCCTTAATAATGGTACCACATTTGTTGAATGACAGTCATTTGATACCATCCCAGTCATTCAGGCGTAATTAGAACAGAGCTAAGCTCCGTTCAGAGGACTTGCGGATGTAACCATTCTGATCCCGATGATTGCTCTCGTTAACGTTTACTAGCCACTATTAAACCCAGATTTCTGTCAGCCACAGAGGTACATTCAGTACATTGGTATTAACATTACATTTCACCTATTAAAGCCATCTATCAAGTTTGTATATACTGAAGAGAAAAATGTATTTAACCACCTTGGGACCGGAGAAATTTTGTAAAAATTGCACATACCTGAAAACAATCTGCATTTGTGACTGGAAAACAGTCTAAAACCCCCCAAAAATTATATATTTTCTAAAAGCAGAGACCCTGTACCATATGTGTCAAACTCAAGGCCCAGGAGCCGCATCCGCAGCCGCACTGGTTATTACTAAAACCAGTGATAATCGAATGCAGAAGCAATTATGATAAAGATTAGATACATTTATATAGTCTTACAGATACCTTTTGAGGGCAACCATAATGTTGATGTGGCCCACCATTACATTGAGTTTGACACCCCTGCGTGTAGAATAATAAAATGCTGGTTGCAATTTTTTATGTTACACGATGCAAATGTTTATCAAAAGTATATTTCTAGGAAACAAATACACTTCCAGGGCTATTCACAAAAGGGTGAA